ACATGGACATACAACCAGACAGTACTATTATATTTATATAGAAGTAGTTACATGGTCATACAACAGACAGTACGTAACTACTTCTATATAAATATAATACATACAACAGACAGTACTATTATATTTATATAGAAGTAGTTACATGAACATACAACAGACAGTACTATTATATTTATATATTATATTTTTACAGAAGTAGTTACATGGACATACAACAGACAGTACTATTATATTTATATAGAAGTAGTTACATACAACAGACATTACTATTATATTTATATAGAAGTAGATACATACAATAGACAGTACTATTATATTTATATATAAGTAGTTATAGTACTGTTATATTTATATAGAAGTAGTTACATGAACATACAACAGACAGTACTATTATATTTATATAGAAGTAGTTACATACAACAGATAGTACTGTTATATTTATTTAGAAGTAGTTACATGGACATACAACAGACAGTACTATTATATTTATATAGATACATGGGACCCACATATTATGTTTCTTTGTAAATGCCAGTAGAGTAGCTACAAGCCTAAAAATGATCTGTGAAGATTGAAAAATGACCCCAAACTTTGCAAGTGTAGGGTGAACTTACGACTACGTTTTCTATCTCATAACCTGCATGTGCACAAAACTGTTCTGCTTAACTATTGATGTGAGAGTAATTATATAAGTTATTATATTCTGTGATAACTTAAGTCAAGTACTCTGTTATGAACAATACATCTTTGTTGTCTGCCATCATGTTACAATATTCTTGTCTGAAGATTTTTTTCTAGATTTGGTATTTCACTTGTTGTCATTTTACAATTTAAAGTGGTGTTAGCTAACTAGAATTTGTATATATATTTGTTTGATCTTTAGGCCTAATTATGAAAGTTGTAGTTCACTTTTTAACCTGTACGATACTTCTACTGTCTTGTTTTGTCACAGGGAAGAGTGTACAAAATTAAATTGTGACTACTACTTCTCGGTGGACTCAGATGCTCATATTACAAATCCCATGACACTTCGACTTTTAATCGAGCAAAACAGGTGAGACTTTCACGTAGAATTGTATTTAAAATAAACTGTTTGCTCACCTTAAAAACTCGAGATATTCTCAAAAAAGTGAAATAGAAAATGCTGTGTATTTATTGGAGTATGGTCTGATTATATTTTTATCAAATTGCTCATTGATAGATAATACTCTTAGTATGTTGATTAATGTTGCAGAGAAATTAGAAACATTTCTCAGTAATAATTAATTGATTTATGTTGTCTAATAAATTAACTTAGCAAAACGATCAATGTACAATGAAATGAAAAGTGTAAAAATATCAAGTAAACTTAATAATACTATTTTTTTTCTTTGCACTGACTGCAGTATTGACCAGAACTTATCAAATTTCATGTAGTTTCAGCTGTTAACTTTTTTCACATTTTGTACCACAGCCAGAGTCTGTTAGCTGTTTTCCATACAGCTAATATCAACAGCACGTGATCTAATGTCATATTTCGCATCAGTGCTCAAGCTAGTGTTATTTTAAACATTTCATTTTACTGAAAGTTTTGCTAGGCTAAGCTGAGAAGTTTATGAATAATTATTTTTTTTTAAAAATCTATAAAAAGAAATAAAAATATACATAAAAAAAACAAGGATTTCTTGCACTCACTACAAACTGGAGCTGTTTCCACTGGAGTAAAAATATTTGACATTCTCCCCTGAAACTTGTTAAGTCTCGCTAGTTTGAGTGTGCAAAAAACAATTCATGTAGATTTCAAATATGTATTTTAGAACACAAACAATATATTGGAACTAAAATAGAATGTCCGAAAATTACTTTCTAAATAAGCTATAAATAGGTTGACAAAATTCCATTACTGTTCAGAACACCAAATGTGTTTAACACAAACCAACAGTTCTTGTCAACTGAAGGGCAATGGCAGAAAAAACTCAATGTAGATTTATAAGATTTATGTAGAGAAGTTGTTCTTTCTATTGGTTATAAACATGTCCATAAGCCATGTACAGGTGATTAACGATCAACATTGAAAGTCACAGAGAAAAGGAAGGGACTTCTTTGGTGGGTTTGATAAATTTATTGATATCTCAGCAAAGAAAGACAGAAAAATTTTACATATTGCTTTTAATCATGTTTAGTCAGTGTTTCTAATTGGTTCAGCCTGTTTTAGAAGTTAGAAAGTTCTGTAGTCGAGAAATCGGAGCTGGGATGCATCATGTGACAGAAAAATGAAGTTTGAGGTTTTCGAAATATTTATTTTTGAAATCAAAAAGTCAAAACGTAGACAATGTGAAATTGTAATTATTAACTACATTTTCGTGTTAAATATTATTGACAAATGTTGGTAGGAAAGTTGTTGTTAGATTTAAATATAACACCGTAAAAGGTCATAACAAAGTTGCATGGAAAGGGTTCAAGGATTGTGATAACTTAATTAATACTGATCAGTAATTAGTTTATTTTTGATATATTCTTCTCTGATTGATTCATAATGTTCACAGGTTAGTCAGTAATTAGTTTCTGTTGTTTAATGTATGTTTCTCTGAGAGTAGTGTGTATCAATGTGTTATTACCATTTTCGTGACTTTAGGCCTATCTTAGCTCCCTTATTGGCACGACCCAATAAATTGTGGTCTAACTTCTGGGGGGCATTATCATCTGATGGCTACTATTCACGATCTAGTGACTACTTGGAGATAGTAAAGAACAACAGAAGGTAAGCTTATTTTATAACAGAATCAGTATATATATATTGTAGTATCTCTTTAGTCTATAATTGTTATGATGGTGTTAGTATAATGAATATTGAATTGCTCATTTTTTATAAGGCAGTTTTTTAATAGATGAAATTTTAGTCTGATTAGAAGTGTGGTTATTGGATATTTTACAAAGGGAAATTTTTAGTACATTTGAAAGTAAGCAATTACAGGCTGTGTTTTTGTTACCGACAAAAAATGTGTTACGCTTGAAGTTGACAAAACAGAAACTTGAGCTTGTTGATATCAGCTCAGGTAAGTCGTAATACATGATTGTAATATACAAAAAAACTATACCTTTGTCACCAGAGGGCACCACCAGAAACAGCATGATGTACTTCAACACTTGTAGTTATAGTAGTTCTCTGAACCCTATTTTATTTGTCTTATATCTGTAGTTCGTAACAAAATAAAAGTAAAATTGTCTTGTTTTACACAGATGTGTGTTTAAACTTGGAAATATGCGTTAATACCAGCTCATTAGATTATTATCTTTTCTGACGTCCATAGAGAGACCGTACCTACTTTACAATATTAGCACTTGAAATTTGTTTTTTTAATTAGCCCTAACTGTGGAGTAATAGAAATAGGAAAGAGGATAATATATATGTATATAATTGATGAATTTTACATGTTAGGCTTATGAGTGTGGTTGATTTCAGGAGAATTGAGTATTAATAATTTTTAACAAAGTCTGTACTAATGTGTACATTAAGAATATTGTTACGTCTCCGTTTGTTAATTGATTTCCCGTAAATTCGTTCCGACGAAACTTTAGCGACACAAGTCCTTACTTAATAAAACTGGTTTATTCGTTCCGAATATAACTTTACGAGACTCTTAATTTCAACAATCGCGCTAAAACAAACGCTATAACAACGAACGTGCTGAACTTCAATAATACTCTCTGACTGCAGATCAATTACTCACTGTCTACACACACATTACTCCGTCACGTTGTCACCCTCTTACATACACCAGCCCACCCCATATCTAGCAATCTCCTGACAACTCACGAAGGCACAAGATATTTCCAGAAAGCAGGGGCGTGACACTAGTCACGTGACCTCGCTGACGCAACAATGTATTTCCTGTATAATATTGGTTCGAAATTTACCAGGTTCACAAGATAAAATGTTAAGAGTACAAAGCTCAATAGACAGACAGTATTTTATCCTTACCATTTATTTTATTGTATCCTTACCATTTATTTCATTGTATCCTTACCATTTATTTTATTGTATCCTTACCATTTATTTCATTGTATCCTTACCATTTATCTTATTGTATCTTTACCATTTATTTTATTGTATCCTTACCATTTATTTATTGTATCCTTACCATTTATTTTATTGTATACTTGCCATTTATTTTATTGTATCCTTACCATTTATTTCATTGTATCCTTACCATTTATTTCATTGTATCCTTACCATTTATTTCATTGTGTCCTTACCATTTATTTTATTGTATCTTTACCATTTATTTATTGTATCCTTACCATTTATTTTATTGTATCCTTACCATTTATTTCATTGTATCCTTACCATTTATTTATTGTATCCTTACCATTTATTTTATTGTATCCTTACCATTTATTTTATTGTATCCTTACCATTTATTTTATTGTATCTTTACCATTTATTTCATTGTATCCTTACCATTTATCTTATTGTATCCTTACCATTTATTTTATTGTATCCTTACCATTTATTTTATTGTATCTTTACCATTTATTTTATTGTATCCTTACCATTTATTTCATTGTATCCTTACCATTTATTTTATTGTATCCTTACCATTTATTTTATTGTATCCTTACCATTTATTTCATTGTATCCTTACCATTTATTTCATTGTATCCTTACCATTTATTTCATTGTATCCTTACCATTTATTTCATTGTATCCTTACCATTTATCTTATTGTATCCTTACCATTTATTTGAAGTCAAAGCAACTACATTTTACTGTATTTATTATTATGATCAAAATCAAACCAACAGTGTAGATCAGAAGTAAAATATTTTAAAGATAAGATACATTAATTCTGATAATCGATTATAACAAGCTTACTAGAAACACGTGATGTTTAGATCAGTACACCATAAAAGTAAAATGTGTAATGATAAAATCTTATTGAACCACCTTTTGGCCATTGTTGTTTTTAGCAACAGATAACAAACTTTGTATTATTGAACCACCTTTTGGCCATTGTTGTTTTTAGCAACAGATAACAAACTTTGTATTATTGAACCACCATTTGGCCATTGTTGTTTTTAGCAACAGATAACAAACTTTGTATTATTGAACCGTTTTTGTTTTAAAATGACCACAGAGATTCGAACGTGAGGATATTCACCTTGTTTAGTATGATGCAGTGTATATTTAGCCGTTGTTTAGTATG